TCACAGCGGCAGGGGCTGAAGACAGAACCTGGCACAGTGCCACGCTGAGCACAGCTCCCCTGGCCAGGGCGGAGAGCGCACCTGCTCTTCTGGGGAAGCACTGAGCCCCTGACTCGGAAGAAGTGTCTCCACCAAGCCGCCCTTCCTTTTCAGAGCAGCACAGTTCCACGTATACCTGCTCCTGCCCGCCCACAGCTGCCACTGCAGAAGACTAATGAAATCCAACTTATTGTAGCTTTTCGTGGATTTGGGCTGTTTCCCCTTATGAAATTCTCTGAATCCTGGTTCCTGGGATGTATCATTGAGCATCCACTCTGCCAGGCACTGGGACAGCAAATCAAATAGGCTCACCGGCAGACAGGTTTGCAAGCTGTCTGCAAGTTGGCTTAAGAAAACTGAAGGGCCAGAGAGAGAGCTCAGTGGGTAGGGCACTTGTCTAGCATGCAGCAACTTGGGTTCAGTCCCTGGCACCTCTCTATCCCCCACACCGCAGCACAGTTAGGAGCGATGCCTGAGCTCAGAGCCAGGAGTAAGCACACTGGGTGTGCACACATCCCCAACCCCCATTTTTTTTTAATTTAAAGAAAAAGAAAAGAAAACTGGAACTCTTACAGATTGGGGAGAGTTTCTATTTTAAAGGTGTGAGTGAATCCTGATTTCCCATAAAATGTCCAAAGACCTGGAAATATGGGCCCAGACTCTATGGCCTCATTTCATGGATCCTGCAAATGCTCCCTGGGTTATGCTCCCGGAACCCTGCGGCCACATTTGCGGCCATGTGACATCTTATTTTCTAGGTCTTATTCTGGAGAACCTAAAAGCATCCATCCCCCACGGCAGAGTCTGGCTACCAAAAGCATCCATCCCCCACGGCAGAGTCTGGCAAACTCCCCATGGCATATTCAATATGCCAAACACCAGTAACAATGATGGGTCACATTCTCCTGACCCTGAAAGAGCCTCAAATGTGGCACTTTGTAAAATCTCAGGGCTAGGATGAAGGAGATGTTACTGGGGCCTGCTCGAGGCAATCGATGACAGTGATACTCTATGGCCTTGTTCCATGGATCCTGCAAATGCTCCCTGGGTGATGCCTCTTACCAGCCGGCTCCCAAGGCTCTAAGCAGAAGAGAGCATGGCTGGCCAGGCTGCCTGCCCTGGGCCCGACACTGCCTCTGCTCTCACTTAGCTGGCCCGGCCTGGGTGCAGCCCTCAGTCCTCATCTAGCTCCCAGACCACCCCAAGCCCAGGGGATGTGCCACCTCCACAGGGCCCTGCAGTGACCCAGGATGCACACCCTCTACCCAGGTCTGTCCAGAGTCACGGCCTGGTGTAGGCCAAGAACCACATGACACTCTCCAGCTGGTGGACTCTGGGGGTTCGCCTGGTGTTTCAGACAGAGGTCAGGTCCTTCAGCCTCTGGCAGGACTTGTCCAGAGACCAGCACAGAGGACGTGGGGATACGTGCCACAGGAACCCCAGGCCTCAGTTATGACACCTTGACAGGGAGAGTCCAACATCCCATGGGCCTGGCCCCTGGGGACAGTGTTCCCAGCACGGCCCTGGCCCCTGCAGACAGCACTGGATGCAGCACTCACACAAGCACCCTTTCCTTCTGCTATCTAACCAGCCACTGTGAAGTTTGGAAAGCCTGTGCTGAACTACAAAAACTCACTTTTCTGATACTAATTTAATGTATTCTCAGAAAAAATTATTCCTCAGTGGTCCGGAGCAATATACAGCAGATAGGGTGTTTGCATTGTACACGGCTGATCCAGGTTTGGTCCCTGTACCCCGGAGGGTCCCCCAAGCCTGTCAGCAGTGACCTCTGAGTGCAAAGGTAGGAATCAGCCATGAACACCAGCAGGTGATACCCAAGAACAAAACAAAAAATATTATCCTTCAGAAATAAACTGTGTTTCTGGCAAATAAGTGATGACATGTATTCAACAAAAGATTAAACTATTAGCTAAATCACCCTTTCATAAGTGGTGGGAGGATGCTCTTCACAGGGCTGTACCTGCAGATGAGTCAGCATTGTGTCTAAAATAGTCCAGGAACCTCGCACACATGCTGAGTGTAGTCGCCTGCACTCAGGGTGGGGGAAAGTCACTCTACCTCCTCTTGTAGAGGGCCGCCCTCGTGCCCATTCCCCCAGATAGGCCTGAGTCCAGACAACCCATGGTCACTGCAGAACAGCCACAAATGCTTCAATTATTAGCAAGCCAAACAGTGCTACCAGAAAGGCCTCATAAGACAGAACATGCTGCAAGCCCGAGAAGCCTCAGTCACAGACTGAAGACCCCAAGGTACACGTGCACTGGGGGAGGCAGCTCTCAGGCCTGCTTTGGAGTGTCCAGGTATAAAGGTTTTTCATGATTATGAAACTTTTAGAAGCTTCTGCAAGTCACTGAGTCAACCATGGGTGGCTGTGCAGGGCCCAGAGCCTGGGAAGCTCAGGAGAAGCCCAAGGCAGGAAGCTTCGGAGCCCGCGCACATGGGCACCCTGGAGCCTCCACTGTCCCAGGAGGAGCTGCTGGGAGGGCAAAAGGCAATCCAGAGGAGAGGAGAGAGTTCCAGAAGGTCCCGGGGTCTTGAGTACTGAACGCCTCCTCCGCAGCCCACAGCTTTCCTCTCCCCACTCCTGTACTGCTGGGAGCCCCGAAAGGTTTGCCACACTCTTCCCCCAGAGACAGCATTCTCACTGGGGTCTGCACAGGCAGGGGCCCACAGGGCATGTTCATGCTACCAAGTTCCACAGTCCCTGAAGGCTCCCCAGTGAACACATACACGCACATATGCACGCGTGCGCGCGCATGGCTGCCTGTGACTTTGCATGCAAAGAAAAGAAACCGCTGGCTTCTTCCTCCTTCAAGAAAGTGGAAAAGCAAGTGCAAGACCCTGCTGGCAGCAGCTGCCACAGGGTGGGGGGCATGGCGCCCACCCAGAGTGGCCTGGTGAACACGACAGCCACGTGACAAATGGAAGGTGAAGACCAAAGGTCAGACGCCGGGCCCAAGAGACAGTTTAGAGGACTCAGCGTGCAGAAGGCGGCCCAGAGTCAGTTTTTGGTATCACATGATCCCCCGAACATGGCTGGGAAGAGCGCAGGCCCCCAGCACTGCTGAGATGCATGGACTGAGAAATGGCCCCAATGCCGTGAAAACGAGAGAAGCACAGCTCTGAGCAGTTAGTGCTCAGTGGAGTTTCTCTGGGCCTGAATATCAGCATGGGGCAGGAGAGGCAGATGCCGACAGAGTCAGACTCTGAGACCCAGTGCAGGCGGGATTCTGGGTTTCCTGATTCTGCCTACACAAAGGACAGTACGTGGGCCTGCAGGTCCCTGTTCCGGCAGAACACAGTGAGGCCAGCCAGATAAGATTTTCACAGTCTTATTTTAGGATGGCAGCTTCAGAAATAGCTCAGTGACCAATCCACAGACAGCTTGTCTGGACCCTGGAAGCAGAAGGTCAGAGGGAGGCAGACGACCCACACGGACGTCAGGCATGTGATGAAGGGCTTCTGGCCCTGAGGCAGGGACACTTGCCTCACCTCTAGGGGCTGCTGGACAGCGTGGCCCGCAGCCTGTTCTAGAGGTGGAGGTGTGACGTCAGGATGGAGACACGGCTAGGAGGCGGATGCTTAGAGGAAAGTCTCTGTCCCAAAAAGCGCAGACCCCGTGTGGCACAGAGCAGGTAGGCTGCGGAGAAGCCTGGTGTAAACCACACATGAGGTGGGCAAGCGTGGGGGATGCAAAGGGAGCAGGAGAATCAGTTCTGGGCATTCGAGAAAGAACGCTATGCAATAGAAATATGGGAAGGATCCAGGAAGCAGCTAGTTTAACGTGGCTGAAATGACGGGAGCTGGATTCTGACTTCAGTTCCCACCTCAGCCCTGGTTTTCATCCAGGTCACACTTTGCCTTGCCACTCCCATCAGGTCATTCACCCTGCACTGACAGATTCTCTTCAAAGCCAGAAATGTGCCACAGAAACTCTTCTACCTACACTGCACTCAAGTCCAGTGGCCTGAGAAAAACACGTCCCTTCCGGTTCATCACTCATCATTCAGCATTAGTAAGTAAAATGGGTTCTGGTACTGATTCCCACACGGGGGAAGAGGGATGTCTCAACACACCTGCCAAAAACTCTCAGACACAAAGAGGGTCACCGGACATTCAGCCCAGCCCAGCGCAAGCCACGAGGAGCAGCTCTGCCCCAATCTCACATCCGACGCTAAGTCCAACCCGTGTTGTGACCTGTGTTTTCTACCTCCTCTGAAAATAAATCTGAAATTTTCAAGACCCTTCTTCAGATGTGACTGACCTGCACTCAGGGGTGCTATACTAAATCACAGGTTTATTATGAAAAGTGATCATGAAGGAGAAGCCAGTTGGGAGAGACGCAGAATGGGGGATGAAGGAAAACACAGCTCTCCTACGCCCTCTGCTGGTGTAGCAGCCTCCAGGCCGGCGCAGGTCTGGGTCATCTCCAGGCAAGTCCTGCTGTACTTTACAGAGGGGCACTGCCCTTAGTGACGCATTCCACCTAGAGTGTCACTCCCTCCCGCTAGGGGAGGTTTAGCAGCAATCCAAAAGCCACCCCTTAAACACAACAAAAACCATCTTTAGGGCTTTCAATGCTTAGAAACTATAAATATTTTGGAAGTTGTGAGTCAGAAACCATGAACTCATGACCAATATATACTTTTCATCACAAATTTGGGTAATGGGGATGATGAGCTGTGGAATGTTTTCTGGGAACCAATAAAATTCATATGTAAGTAGTGAGTCATAGTCTGATACAATTTTTGGTATTTTTTCTTATAAAATACAGATATACCATGGAATTCTGCACAATAAATTAGAAAGCTGCATAAAGCAATAAGTAGCAAGAGAATTAAGAATCACATAATCTCCTTTCTTTCCTCAGAGTCCTGAGTTAGCTTGTCTGTCCGGGAGCCCAGCCAAGCAAGGCCAGGCGCCTAGGGGAATGAGCTCACCTGTTTCGCAGCAGCCTGGCCGGGAGGAAGGGAGCTGGGGGTGAGCACAGGGGGGCTCCCAGGGTCACAGAGCTCAGGGAAAGGGTTGGGGATGGCCGGCAAAGAGGAGGTTCGAAACTGCTGGTCTTCTTCTTGCAGGCGCCTGGAATAGAGAGAAAGACATGTCCAAATCTCCCAGTCACTGAGGGGTACAGCTTACACTCCGAGAACTGCCCCAGGGACCTGTTCATTGGAGGCCCATTCACAACTGCTCAAGATTAGATGCAAACCTGACGTCCGTTCTATAGAAATAAATAAAAGGTACCCTATTCACACAACGAAATATTGTCCAGCCTTAAGATAGAAAGAAATCCTCACTTGATATTCAAGAACTTGAGGCCTTTATGCTCAGTAACATCAACCAGACACAAACTGACAAATCTTGTATGGTCCCACTTCTTTCTAACAAGTACGGTAACTAGTCCAATCCATAGAAAATAGAATGGCAGATCCCAGGGAGTGGAGTATGATGGAGAGTTAATTTAATGGACATAGAATTTCAGTTTTGCCAGGTTAAAGATTTCTAGAGTGGGACTAAAGAGATAGTACAGCTGATAAGGTGCTTGATTTGACTCAGCCAAACTGGGTTCAATGACCAGCATTCTATATGGTCTCCTGAGCACTGTTGGGAGTGATCACTGAGCACAGACCTAGGAGTTAGCCTCAGGCACTGCTGGATGTGGCTTAAGAACAAAATATAAAAATATTATAGAAATGTTTTCAACAATAATCTGATAATATGAAATACCATGTAACTATAGTATACATGGTTGAAATGGGAAATGAACTTGTGCTGTGCTACTTTACCACAACAAAAAGTTTTAAAAAAGAATTTAGATTCTTTCATTCACAAAATATCTAGAGGCAAGATGCCCAGTCATCATAATTCATGTACTTGGAGGATCAGAGCGATAGCACAGCAGGTAGGGCGTTTGCCTTGCACGTGGCTGACCTCAGTTCAATCCCCAGCATCCCGTTTGATCCCTAAGCACCACCAGGAGTAATTCCTGAGTGTAGGGCCAGAAGGACCCGTGAGCATAGCCAGGTATGGACCCCGAAAAAGCAAAGGGCAGAAAAACCTATCCCCCCAAACATGCAAAAATACAACTACTTGACATTTTCTCTAAATAATTAACCAGTTCTGTTCAACCAGTAGTTGATAAGTTAAGAGCTTTTGAGAAAAAAACATATTTCTATTAAAATTTTTATTGAGTTTTTGTCTGGGGCTCATAGCAGGTAGTGCTCAGGGACTTATTCCTTGCTCTTAACTCAGTGATCACTTCTGGCGGGCTCTGGGGACAAGGTACTGGGGATCAAACCTGGGCTGACTGCATGCAGGGCAAAGTCCCGACCTACTGTACCTCTCAAGCCCCCAAATTACTATTTACCAGTGACTGAAACATTTACCCTACACATGGATATAGTTAAGTGTCTCCATATGCTCTCATCTTTACTGTGGAATGAATGCATTTATGCGCAAAGGTTGTGGACAATAGATTATTGGAAATAAATACTTTAGTGATCCTCCCTGGAGCACAAAAGCCTGTGTTTGTCACTTCAAAAATATCCCACTGTCCCCGCTCATAGCATTGAAAGCCACTCGTGAATCTGTACCCTTATCTCCTCACAGACATCCTATCTTCCTTTTCCCAAGAATGCATATCACCTGTCATACAACTAAGAAAACCAAACATGGGACGACAAATCAGATGCAGTGATAAAAATAAAAGAAATATCAAGTTCAACATGGAAGCATAAACAATGCAAAATGCTTTATGTTTTCTCTTCTGTGGGGAGAAACATTTGCTGGCAGGTTTCTATACAGACCCCTAGAGCTTTCTAAGAGATCCTACTCCTGTCAAAGAATGAAACCACAAGTACAGGAGAAGTAATCAGACTTGTGAAATTCAGGCAGAGAGTGTGCAGAATAATTAGAGCCCACCCAAAGGTGCTTGGGGAGGCTCAGGACCACTTATGACAGTGCTCAGGGGCCACTAGATGGTCCCAGTGGAGCTTGGAGGTCACGAGGTCCACACTCTGGGTAGTTCAGGAGGTATGTGGGGACCAGGACTGTACAAGTCAGGCATACATTTACCACTCCAGCTATTCCACGGGCCCAAAAGGCCTAACACTGAGAAGTCTCTTGCTCAGGCCAGGGAGGGCGTGTTCAGCAGCAAAGCACATGCAAGGCATGCAAGACATCAGGAAGGAAAACCTAATGGAAAGAATGAACTGTGGGTGATCGAGATCTACTGATGTGAGTTTATCAGCTTATAATGAATGTACCACTGCTGAGGACACTGCTACTAGAAAACTGTGCATATGTAGGGACAGGAGTTATGTGGGAAACTCCATCTTCTTTATGCTGAGTCTAGAACAGTTTTTTAAACAGTCCTCAAAAGAAAAAAGTGTCATGGCCTGAGACCGCTCAAAGGGCTGACGCATGTGTTGTGTGTTGGAGGCTCCCAGGGAGAGCCCTGGCATCCCAGGGTCCCATAAGCGTGTCTTGGTGGCTCCCCCAGCAGCACAGCGCCAGGCTGAGTCCAGATGGGAGACTCTCGGCGTCTGTGGCCGGGCTATGGAGCCTTGCTTCACTGACCCACACAGCTCTCCTAGTGCCATCGGGCAGGGCAGCTGCTCCTGATCATTGCAGCATCAAGCCAGGCACCAAGTCTGCCCCAGCACCGCAGCTCAGCCTGCCACGGCTCCCGCTCACAGCGGAGGTTCAGGCCGCACCTGACAGCGAGGATGTGCACGGGCTGGGAGCGCTGCACCTTCGGCCGGGGGGACGCCAGTGGGAGGCAGGGCCTGGCTCCTGCCGGCAGCCGGCTGCGGGCCTGCGGGCTCTGCAGAAGGGGCACCGTCTCTGACTGCATGCTACAGGCGGAGTACAGGCTCTCCATGGATGCATTCATGTCATTCACCAGGGCTTCCAGGTCCACGTCATCCTCTGGACATAGAAAGGCAAAAGCAGAAAGTCAGAAAAATCAAATGAAACACTTTAGTAACAAGAGAGCACTTTAATATCTAAGTTTTATCTATAATGCAAACTCACCGTTTAATATAGCTGAGGTCTGAAAAGAACAACTGAGAACAGTATAAACGTGTGCAGACCTATATGTGGTCTTCATTAATATCTGCTGACATTTCTGGAGCAGTTCAAGAATGACAGTCCAGCCCCCTAAAGAGACTCCCCTCCCCCCTCCCCCCCCCCCACCCCCACACACACACACATCTCTGCTTGACTCTCTCTGGGACGAGCAGCCTCAGCTGCACTCAAGGCCAGTGGACCTAGGTCAGTTGTGAACAGTGAGTGCGGATCAGTCCAATTCTGAGTTCCCTTAAAGAGAGATTAAAAAAAACCAACAGTACAGAGACTGCAGAGATCGAGCGACGTGCTATGTGCCTGCAGTACAGACTTGGCATGAGGAGGCCTAGCACTGCTAGTGCTGGGAGTAGCCTCTGTACACTGGGTGTGGCCCCAAAGCAAAAACAAGCCAGGGAACAAAATGAAACAAAGACAAGAACAGAGCCCAACACGAACAGCGCTTCTGCCACTAAGGCCTCTGAGCGGAGCCAGCATTGCCCAAAGCCCCAGAGATAAGCTGCCAGGGCTACTGACAGCTCCTCGGCTCCACACGCCTCACCTCTGCCCCCTGCTGGCCCAAGAGCCAGGAACACCAGGGTAACAGACAGAGCGCCAGAGAATGACCAAAAAAACAAAACAAAACAAAACAAAACAGAGAAATGTGTATGCAGCCCAAGGGGAACTAGGTCAGGTCTTCTAGAGTTCTGGATAGGTGATTCTTAGTCAGAACTAGCACTTCCGTTTGGAAAAGCGGAGCACTTCCCATTACTTTGATGGCATGAAGACTGCCAGGCCCCAAGAATGAGGGAATTGAACCCTGAGATTTTGGGTCTCTAGCTCTGTCTCACCTGCCTTTTCTCTGAGGAGTCCTGACTGATACACATCGGGGCTGCAACTCAGACCCCAGCATTTCGAGGTGTGGGAGGGAGGGCCAAAGGGAGGGAAGGAGATAAACTCAAACTGGACCCATGGAGCTCAGTTTCCTCTCTTGGGTCTAGCTGTACCCGGCAGGAGGAATCTGTGAAGCTTTTCTACACCCTACAATAACTTTGTTTAACATCTATGTTCATGGAAGCACTCAGTCCTATAGCCAGAATATGGAAACAACTCAAGTATCCAACTACAGCTGAATGGATGAGGGGCTGTGGCACATATACACCACAGAATACTACGCAGCTGCAAGAAAAGATGCAATCATGCAATTTGCTAAAATAGAAGGGCATCAGCACTGTAGCACAGTCCTGTAGTACCGTCCTCCCATTATTCATCGAAGGGCATCAGACTGAATAAAATTAATTAGAAGAGGTACAGACACAGAATGATCTCTGTCATGTGGGATATAATGATACATTATAAGGGAGTAACAAACTGCCAGACATCAGAAGGTGAGAGCTGGTCTATAGAACTGTGCTTGGGGTTGGAGGCACAGTGTAGGGAAACAGGGAGGAGAACGGATGGAAATGGGGAGGAGAATGCAGGGCTAGGGAGGAGGATGGAGAGGGTCTTTGGGATACTGAGGAAAGAAGCAGGCACTGGGGGTGGGGGTGATGCGTAGAACTATCATGAGTAGTATAAATTATGGTACCACAATTAAAAACTAATCAACATAAAACAACTAAGCTTAAGTCAGTTTGACTTTATTTCCCTGATTTTTTTACTCCTATTACTTGTATCAATGTGTGGATAATACAAACTCTTGTTTTCCCTGTGTTTCACGTCTTTTTACTAAGCCCAAATGCTGGAGAGTCATATTAATGCAGTCCTTTCAAAGTCACGTAACTCATAGTCTCATTTCTCATCTGGCTGTCTCTAACTGGTAGTTATTTAACAAACAGAGGCTCAGGGCCCCAAAGTGTCTGGCGTTCACCCTACCCAAGCCAGATGGGAATGCAGACAGGATGCAGGAATACTTACTGACATCATACCACCCTCCTATTGCTGCCTCTGAGCCTGGAAAAAAGGTTCCAGGTCTTTGATTCTGGTTTCTACAATTCTCAAGTGGACTGAAAGCAGAGGTACCATGCTGTGGGCCCTGTGAGGGGGAGGCCGTTACCTGCTCTTTAGCAGAGATGCTGTGGGCTCTGGGAGGAGAAGGAGGCGATTATCTGCTCTGTAACAGAGGTACCACACCATGGGCTCTGGGAGGAGGCTGTTACCTGCTTGTAACAGAGGAACCATGCCGCGGGCTCTGGGAGGAAGAGGCCGTTACCCACTCTCTAGCAGAAGTACCATGCCGTGGGCTCTGGGAGGAGGCTCTACCTACTCTCTAGCACAGGTACCATGCTGTTGGATAATACTGGGTTGTCCTTGCTCCTCTGTCAGGGAGCTTAAGGTTTATTGAGCCACTTCCACAACAGTGCAACTGAAGCACGCCCAATTCCATCACATCAAGATCCTCCGTGAGCTATATTGCTAATTCACTACCAGGATCTCACCATTCTACAAAGAAGCAATCACTGATGTCAAGAGAGGGGTTCGGCAGGGTGATACTATTTCACCAAAACTCTTCAGTGCCACCCTCGAGAACATCATGCGACGACTGGAATGGGAAGGAATGGGAGTGAAGATAGATGGTTGGCAACTACACCACCTCCGCTTTGCTGATGACATTGTTTTAATAACACCAAACATCAGCCAAGGGGCACAAATGCTGGCCAACTTTGACCGTGAGTGTGGAAAGGTAGGACTATAGCTGAATCTTACGAAGACAATGTTTATGAGAAACAGCCTCGTTCCTGATGCCCCATTCGCTCTTATCGGGACGACCATCTCTGAATGCAATAGCTATGTATACCTAGGTCGAGAAGTCAACATGACAAATGACCTGGCACCCGAGCTGCGCAGGAGCAAGAGAGCGGCTTGGAATGCCTTCAAGAACATCGAAGAAATAGCTAAGAGGACAAAGAACCTCCGGCTCTGGGCATATCTCTTTGATTCCACTGTTCTTCCTGCATTAACATATGCCTCAGAGACCTGGGCCCTACGCAAACAGGATGAGAACGCTATTCAGGTCTCCCAAAGAAGAATTGAAAGAGCTATGCTTGGAATATCACGTTTCACTCAAATGAGAGAAAGAATCCGGAGTTCTGACATCCGTCGACGATCAAGAATCAGGGACGCTGTCTCATTTGCCAAGGTGTCAAAAATCAGATGGGCTGGTCACGTAATGAGATTTAAAGACGACCGCTGGACTAGAGCTGTTACCGACTGGATTCCACGGGATGTCAAAAGAACGCATGGCCGCCCACCTACCAGATGGTCAGACTTCTTCATCAAGATCATGAACGATTGGTTTGAGGCTCTTCATGTTCCCAGAGCGAACAGATGCCATTGGGCTACACTAGCACGCGACAGGGACAAATGGAGACATTACTGGCGCTCGCTTGAGCAAATCGACGGCTAACGGGAAGTGATTAAGTGACTAATAATCCTATATTGCTTTTCTCTTTTCTTTATATCATTTACATGGTTTATTTAGCAATGTCCTTTTTGTATAGACACAGGAAGACAGCTGATGCTATGCTATGAAACATGGGAGTTAATTGACTCCTAAATAATATTTACTCCTGGGCATCCATATTTACTTGGCTTAAGCCTCAGTTGCCCTTAGTTCCTAGCACTCTAAGAGCAGGATTCCGAAGAGGGACTGGATGGACCAAGGGCAAGCTGTAAGCTACACTGGCACTGAAATGGGCCAGGCCAAGCACCATAATACTTAACTATAAGAGCATGGTCATGGAACAAACTCTGTCATGACCCAAAAAACAAGTAATTGAGTAAGGACCCTACTGGGGTTAGGAAAGACTAACCTGGCCTGAGGACTGTCGTCTGGAATATATAGTGAGATGTCCCCAGGAAGAGCAAAACTTTAAGTTTAATATAGATCTTACTGTTCACACAAAATGACATTGCTAGAAATAATATAAGAAGTAAATTTACTATGAGTTTAAATGGATTACTAGCTGAGGAAAGGAGAAAGCAATATACCCTGGATGGAATCCCGCCCTTGAGCAGATCTCCTAGTAAGCTGGAGTAATCTGCTCAAATGAGATTTTGTCTTTGAGTTAATATCCTGAAGGAGAGGCTTTACATCTCTTTGTTGTTATGATAATGTTCAAGCCCACCTTTGTATCCCCACCCTTCATGATTTCTATATAACTATTCTGGTAAGGGGTAAAGGGAACTAGATGCTGACAAGGAGATGTTGAAGATACTGGGGACTAGATGTTGGGGACAAGAAAGTCAGGTCAAGATGCTGAGGACTAGACACTGGAGACTAGATACTGGGGATGAGAAGGATGACAATGAGATGCTGAAGATGAGGAGGAAAACTGAGACTTTAAAGGAGGCTCTGGGACTAGAAGGAGAACCAGATGAGACGATGACTGGAAGTAGAGGACTATGAGGCAATATCAAGACAAGGAAGAAGAGATAACGAAGGAGAGGAATTGTTACAAGGAGACTTGTATGACAGAACTCTGATGATCAAAACTACAATTATGACTGCGCCTAAGGGGAGAGATGGGACTGCAGGGCGGGGGCGGGGGGGAGGAGAGAGAAATAAACTGTCTACAGACCATCTTAGAGCCGGTTCCTGTTTCTCCAGTCCCCCATCTTCCGCCTGGGGAGGCGGCTCTCTGCCACTGAACGCTTGAGTTCTGCGTGTCCTGCGTGCAGGCCATTGCACATCGCTGTGGGCTCTGAGGAGGAGGCTGTAACCTGCTCTGCTGTAGAGGTACCATGTTGTGGGCTCTGTGAGGTGAAGCTCTTATCTATGTTCTAGAAAAGTCCTGGAATGTGGGAACCACACTGTAAAGGGCTACTTATTAGCTCCATTTCATTCCTTACAAAACAATATAAAA